CTGACATAAAAACTGACATAAAACTGTCATAAAACTGTCAAAAAACTGTCATAAAAACTGTCACAAAAACTGTCACAAAAACTGTCACAAAAACTGTCACACTGACATACCTGATCCTGTCACGGAAAAATGCACTTAAAATAAATTGTGCTTTCATGATTGCTACTATATTTAGAACAAATCCTGCCGATATTTAAAAATCGATAACAAAGACCATAATTTAATGCAAACGTTGTATAAGAAATACTAAGTAGTGAATATTTTGTTAAGCAGTTAATTGTTATTTATTACATTCATGTTATACGGCGCAATTATCTCTCTATATAAACTTAAAATACAAAAAAAAAATCAGTTCCATGTTCAGATAAATTAGATCAATAACAAACAAACTGTGTATCTTGAAAACCCAAACTTAAAATAACTGTAGGCCTACAAAACAATACAAACGACCAGTCGAATAAATCAGGGGTGTGAAAAGTCCTGTGGGACAGTTCCTTCTTTCCACGACATAGCTTCTACAATGGCAATATCCCTGGGAATATCTCAGTGTCGCTTGAATTATCTTCTCAGATACATAGCTTATTGTAAATCCCATTTGTATGATTCAGATAGTCCAGCGCTGTTTAATGTCAGCGAGTGCATTTCATTATCTTTTTCATGTTCGTTCTTAATTGTATTGTTAAAAGAGATTCCCATTGACACAGTTAAGTATACGTGTCAACTTGTTATGCGCCATATAGACCGTTGACTTCGATTTCAACTTGATTTCTTTTTGCATTTGCTTACATAGCCTGTCATACTAAGAAAGCCAACAGTTTTTTAGTTGTTTCTCTTAGAGAAGTTGCTGTCCCCAGCTATCGAGCCTCTTCTGCCCGGGGGTTCGAACTTGGGAAGTTTCGGTTTAGCAGCATTGAGCTTAACCAACCCGACCGCGCCGACCCTATTAGGGTATCAATGCTTAACTGGAAATCTGGAAGCAGCACGTAATCATTGGTGCCAATAGCTGTCACTAATCATGATACTGACTTGTCATTTTGGGGGATTTAAGAAAAGATTATGAACGCCCCTTCCCCATTATCCAAAACACCTTAATACTCTACGGAGTGATTTATATTTATTTTAAAAACACGCGTCTAAATTAGTTAAAACGTCTTTTAACATTAATTAGCTTTACATCGGAACAAAACAAATGGATAAAATGACCATTCCCTATGTATACTAATCATAATGCGACCTATCGTAAACATGATAAAGCTACTGTAGAAGAAAGAAATTTAAGGTGGTTTTACTTCCCACGCCAATCCCCTTTATATATGGGTAGTTTTTTTTTACTTTGCTCAAAGATATCAGCCTGTGTTTAGGGGTGGGTGAGGGAATGACGTCAGAGAGGTTGACAAAGTGACATCACAGACCATTGTTGTCCCAGAAAGTGACGTCATAGACAAATCAGCCAACAGAACACGTGACCACTCGGACATCACGTGGAAATAAAGGCCAGCAGACGTCACAGTCTGGGACCAGGAATCAGACTTAAGACACCCAGTGCGTTCTTCAGCCCTCTCACAATCACGCCACAGTATAAATCAACAACCGTTAGAGACAGGCCTACTTACAAGAGTAAGCATCTGTCTCGACTCGGCAACTGTTCACTCTCCCTTCCCCCCCTTCCCCCCCCCCCCCTCCCTCCCTCAGTCCAAAGAGTTTAACGACCTGCAATTATTTTTGACAAAAACCAACAATCTAACTGGCATAGAATCACAAAATCGATGAAGATTTTGTCCCGGGCTGTATAAAAAGTCTACTTCAGCCAATTTAAAATAATGATGAAACAATGTAGATCTATCTAGCTGGGATTTCCCTATCAGCTGTAGCAATTAGATCAACGAAGCAATTCGTGTTGGATTTCCCCAATATATCAGACAGCATCTGTCTCATTACAATATGAAACTACCAAAAATTCTAAAAATATATCACCAATATAAACAGTGTTTTTTCCGGACATTTTCTCCGGGGGGGGGGGCACTTTATATTTCAGGGAGGGGGGGACACTGGTAAAAGTAAATGTTTTCTATATAAATTCTCTTTCGTTCGAGGGGGGGGGTGGTAGACGTTATTTGGGGGGGGGGGAGAGGCTCTATACCCCCCCCCCCCTCAGAAGAGATGCCTGGAAGAAACTGAACATAAATTCTTCAGACCTTCCAATTCTTCCAGAATATTCCACAACTTTCTTGTATTTGGTGCTAGATACCTATCTGGGTCCATCAGTAACGGACACAATTTGGTGCAGGTGATGTAGATTAGGCGTGATTGTCAAAAATGTCTTTCTCCTTGATTCTGCTATTATCTGAATATTGTTTTAACCGTTGCATATGTTTTTCATGTATTAATCAAGCTATATCGCCCGTAGCAGCGCCTTTAAAACATCTTCTTTAACCACTTAATTTTTTTAGCAGAGATCTTAGCCATTTATTTTAATTAAATTATTTTAATCAAACTCTTAATTCTATTCGGAGAAAATTTAACTTTTGATAAACACAAACTTCAAATAAAAGAAGATATATTTTTGTTGAATATTTAAATGTTGTTAAAAGCTTACGAATAATATTTTTATGCTTTGATTAAACTAAGGAACAAATTAATTTTGTTAAAATTTTCATGGAACTTATAAACAAGCTATTGATGTTTAAAAAGAGATGAAAGCTTATACAACGAAATTCTTTGATTTAGACAAGAATATATAGGCCTACATATCTTGATGTTTGGAGAAACATTTTAGATTTAGACATTAATACGCCACATGTTGATGATTGTGAGCCTCGAATAACTGAGGTTGTTGTAGTTGTCCCCAATAGGATTGGAACCCGTAACTCGGACATGATGGTGTGTACCACGACAAGTCACGTGCACTGCTCAGATGGTCACCAGTCACGTCTCTGGTTCCACGGTCCAGTCTTCTTTCTTCTTCGTTCTTAATTATTAGTGTTGAAGGGGATCGAGATTTATCTGCCAGTGGGTTTGAACTTGAGACTTTGTTCGAATTTATCAACCATGAGCTTTTTGCCGACTCGACCACGCCTCCAACACAATTAAGCGTTACGTGTCAACTGGTTAAGCGCCACTGAGGCCATTGACTCCGATTTCAGCCTGCTTTTCTTTTTGGATTTGCTTCCATAGCCTTTGTCCAACCAAGAACAAACGGTCCAGTGATTCTCACAACTTGAGTTACTAGAGCGATGCTACGACACTTATAACCATAGATGCTCATAGCAATGTAAACAACGTGTCCTTTTGTGAATGAAACTATGTACGTAGCTTAAAGCCATTTTATTCGAATGGGAGGCGTACTTTGAAATTGATTTATCAACTGCAAAGAACAAAAACGTTTGGTATCATAGATGTCCGGATGGCATTGTTGATCGATAGATCGCATGACTACGTATATGAAAGTCCCCGGGTCCATTCCGTGGGACCATTCTGTTGTAAAAGTCATATGACTCTTGTTGAATAAAAATTTAGGTTTATGAGCATCGATCTATATATTTCCGCCCACCCATTCCTTCCCCAATGTGACACTAACATACAGACTATATGAACCCTATACGCGATGTAAACATCCTGTCAGTTTGGATTCTAGAACATATGTACTGACACCTAACACCTAACTGCTCACTTAGAGTGACATATCCGTCACACCTAAATCACACGTGACATATCTGACACACCTAATTACCCAAACGTGACATGTGACACTTCTAACTGATCACGTAACGTGACATTACTCCTATACAACGACACAAATTATTAATGATATTGACATTTATCGAGCTGATGTTCACATGCTTGATACGTGATATCTTTTATCGAGTGAACTTTTGCGTCATTTATCCAGAACTTTATCCTGTTTTATGGATGACACCGATATGTCGGCCGCCAGTCTAGCGGTATAAAATTTTGGTGAAAACTCTAATAAATCGCCACAAAGCTGACTCTAAAATCTCAGCGCTCGAACATTAATTAAAGTCACTTTTTTAAAGCCTGTGATTAAATTTTAGAGTACACTGATGGTATGAAATGTCAGATTGACATTACAGAAAATAAAAATAAAACGCGAGTTTTATTACACACTTAAAATGTGAAGCAAAATGTGTAGCGTTGGTGATTGTTACCGATATACACACATCGGAAGGTGTAATCCATTCCCGTAGGTTTTAACAAGGTTAATCCAAAATAAATAGTTATACTAGTAATCCGGTCAGATTTATATTTTTCTAATTGTTCCCTTATTCTTATCAAAATTTCAAACTTTTTAATATTTTCTCTACTTTTTGGTTACCAAGGAAACAAGACCAAGACGATAATTCTTAAGCGAACTCGATAGTTCGCTATATTCTTCATTGCTGACCACGTCAGTCACAAATCTCCCACCTCCCTCCCCACAGATCTCTGCCATATCTTTTCTTCCCCATGGACTCCACACAGGCGTATATCTAAGCGATCTTATCGGCGACGGTATAGATTTCTATTTATTTATGAAAAATAGAATCGATAATGTGACCGTCACTTAAGTTTACGTATTTGCACTTTGAGAAATTCACCCACCCACCCCCCCCCCCCCCGTGCGAGATTAGTGTCAGTGCCACTTCTGCCACCCTGCCACTTCTGCCACCCTGCCACTTCTGACACCCTTCCACTTCTGACACCCTGCCACCCTGCCACACTGCCACCCTGCTACTTCTGACACCCTGCCACCCTGCCACTTCTGCCATCCTTCCACTTCTGACACCCTGCCATCCTGCCACCCTGCCATTTCTGCCACCCTGCCATCCTGCCACCCTGCCACTTCTGCCACCCTGCCACTTCTGCCACCCTGTCATTTCTGCCACCCTGCCACTTCTGCCACCCTGCCACCCTGCCATCCTGCCACCCTGCCACTTCTGCCACCCTGCCACCCTGCCACCCTGCCACCCTGTCATTTCTGCCACCCTGTCATTTCTGCCACCATGCCACTTCTGCCACCTTGCCACCTGCCACCCTGCCACTTCTGCCACCCTGCCACCCTGCCATCCTGCCACCCTGCCACTTCTGCCACCCTGCCACCCTGCCACCCTGCCACCCTGCCACCCTGTCATTTCTGCCACCCTACCACTTCTGCCACCCTGCCACTTCTGCCACCCTGCCATCCTGCCACCCTGCCACTTCTGCCACCCTGTCATTTCTGCCACCCTGCCACTTCTGCCACCTTGCCACCTGCCACCCTGCCACTTCTGCCACCCTGCCACCCTGCCACTTCTGCCACCCTGCCACTTCTGCCACCCTGCCACTTCTGCCACCCTGCCACTTCTGCCACCCTGCCATCCTGCCACCCTGCCACTTCTGCCACCCTGTCATTTCTGCCACCCTGCCACTTCTGCCACCCTGCCACTTCTGCCACCCTGCCACCCTGCCACTTCTGCCACCCTGCCACTTCTGCCACCCTGCCACCCTGCCACTTCTGCCACCCTGCCACCCTGCCACCCTGCCACCCTGCCACCATGCCACCCTGCCACCCTGCCACTTCTGCCACCCTGCCACCCTGCCATCTTGACACTTCTGCCACCCTGCCACCCTGCCACCCTGCCACTTCTGCCACCCTGCCATCCTGCCATCTTGACACTTCTGCCACCCTGCCACCCTGCCACTTCTGCCACTTAGAACAGCAGACGATAAAATAACGGATGTGATCAATACGAGAAATTTAAAGACAGAAAACTGGGTCAAGGTCGTCAGTGTAATTAAAAACTGTAATTGCCTTAAGCTATTTAGTCCGGAGATTTTTAATGAAGTCATTTCTTCTAAGCTGAGACTGATCACAATGATGATGTGGAGGGGGGGTGGTGATGGTTCAAAGAAACTGTTCTATCAATTACTTTTGTCGGTGAAGATAAGCCGGGAACAATGTAACTAAAAAATCAAAAAGTTGATTTAGAAATAACGGGGTGTATTCATAATGTCTATTCTAGCTAGGTTTCTAGCTGTGCTATATTTTTAAAAATTATAGTTAATTTAAAATTTGATTTAGTTATGTTTGTGGTTTGCGTTAGGGAGATGTAGAACTTGGACACCAAACTCTAAACCTAATCTGAGACGGGTTAAAAAATATATTTTTGGGTTATGTTTTATTTTATTCATTATCGTTAAATACTATGAAGGGACATCCTTAAATTGTTATTTGTGTGAAGCTAATAGTAGAAAATAACGATAGTATACCCAGTTGACCATAAATCCCATTGTTGTTGCTAATTGCAATACTTTTTCCCTCACGACTTTCAAGTCGTTTACACATTGTATGATGTGTCGTCACCAGCAGGCTAACATTGATTTGATTTGACGTGCGAGACATTCTTAAATTATGTTGCCATTCTTTTCTATACTTTGTTTTTTTACCTCTTTGTCTAACTCATCGTTTACCTCATCATTTACCTCATCCTTGCATGCTGAAAAAGACACATACTCGAAATGTCCAACATGTATATTTATACTTAAATGTGCTTAATTTTTTAGGCTACTAGCACCATTTTTTCTTACTTTTATTTATCGCATTGTTTACTTCGCATCTGTCCATGTTTATTATAGAAACCACTCTAATTTAAAGCTCTGCGACAGTCCTGGGGCGTGTTAGTATAGTGAGAATAATTCCCCTTTAAATATCAACCGCATCTCTTGTTAATTCGTGCTCAAGGTTAGTCGAGAAGATCGATAAATCGATAGTTTAACCGTTGCTGACATCATTTTTTCACAAACTAATAGGATAATGGACACCATGTGGAGTTAAATTATTGAAATAGATTTTTAGTTTTGTTAACTCTAGTGTCGTCATCACTAAATGTGGTGGTGATGTTGTTACACTTTTAATTGTGATGGTAATGTGGTCTTCAGTTTTAACTGTGATGGTAATGTGGTCTTCACCTTTGAATGTGATGGTGATGTGTTTTTCACCTTTAAATGTGGTGGTAATGTTTACTCACAAAATATTACACCAGAAAACGTCCAAAATAATAATGATGGTTCGAGACACCTGGGAAATCTATTCCCTCACTTGCACGCCGAAACCATCACAGACGTCAGCGCCTGTATTTACATTACAGCGAAAATAAATGCTGTTACAACATTAAAATAATTTCTCTCGTCAATTTAAATAAAATAACATTATCTTAAGTGTTCTTGCCTTCAACAGTGCAAGTATTATTTTTATACTAAGGATGTCGCGATGTAAAAAAAAAAATATCGGTTAATCTAATGAATAATATCGTGCTTCAAATAGCCCATAATGTTATGTAACATAACTCCAATGCTCTTTAACCAATTGGCGATACGTCATGTCCATGTATACACGCCATCAACACGACAAACAGCACTCGATACAACTTTAATGACGTGTACATTCTGAGCCAGTGCCGCTACAGTGTCGGACGTTTTGTGGGTGACGTTCTGTTAGCGTTATCTGAGAGGGGAGATCATCCCAGGAGAGGTTTGAGGCTCCCACGGAAGGTCACGTGCCACTTCATCAAAACTCTGGCATATCCGGAAATGATGGGTTCATGACCCAGTGCGAAAAATGGCGCCAGATCCATCGCACTCGAGAAAACGTGTTGCCCGGGTACGTTTATCTCCGCAGAGTTCAAAGCTGTTTTGATAGCATCTTGCGCCATCAATTGTACTGACTTCATTGATTCCAATAACATGAATTCTTGTATTATACAGCACATGTTTTACTGAACAGTTATGGCTCTCTTGTTTTTCTAGTGTTGTATCTTATCGAACAAGAATTTCTCAGAATAGCATCTTTCATCAAAATGCACTTTGTGTACGTTATTAGATATTTTTAATTCAAGTTTCCCGATAGACAAGTACAAGCTAATTTTTTTTTAAAAGCAAACTGTAATTCAAAGGATTGAAAATAATTACAAATTTTAACCAAGCACTTTTTCGTTGTTACATAACCTTGGACCAGATTTTCTAAACCTTCATAAATTTAGAATCTTTCATCACCAACTCAGCTTGATAGCGGTAGTGGGGTTGCCTGTTAGACGTCTCCTCAGTAATTAGGTAATCAGTAGTGTGTATAATTGATCACATTCTGGCGGGGTATTGTGGGTAATCTCATAGTGTACCGGCAGACGTGAAGGTAATCGGTCGGTGGCTGCTCGGGTAACTTCGTCTGGTTCAATTGTTGGGGGTGGGTTGTTCTGTTAGATGTTCTATATTAGTTGTTTGATGTTTGTTGTTCTGATTGTTGTTGTATGTTTGTTGTATTATGTTTGTTGTTCTATAGACTGTAATGTTGTGTCAGATTTCTATGTTTGTTGTTTCATGTTTGTTGCGTGTTGTTCCATCTTTGTTATACTATAGTGTGTGATGTTCAGTTAGTTGTTCTATGTTTGTTATTCTGTGTTTGTTGTGTTTTTTTCCATAGTTTTTGTTCTTTGTTTGTTGTTCCTGATTTGGTTATAGTAGTTGTATTTTCTGACTTGTGGTGTTTTACTTATTGTGTTTTGTGGTGTTTTACTTGTGGTGTCTCACTCATGGTGTCCTACGTTATTGTCCTGCTTGAATTCTCCAACTTGTATTGTCCTACATACCTTGTCCTTTCTGTGTATTGTCCTTTTAGTGTCTTTGGCAGCGGTATTTATTTTAAAAAAATAAAACGCGATTTATTTACTATAAAAAATTAAACTAAAATGTAACACCCATTACGCATTGCTGGGCTGATATTCATGCTAATTAACATTCGATACTAGTTTTTAAAAATACTCGCATCAATTGTTTACGCACAAGGGCTATAATTAGCAGAAAAAAATATGCAAAAAATCATTAGTTGATGTGTATGTAGGTTGGGCGAATCACGTAGTTTGTGTGTGTGTGTGTGTTAATGTCGACAACAGTCGTGAATCGCTACATAGGGGAGACACTGGCTAACACGTGTTTTTGTGACGATAAAAGCATAATAGAAGCTTGTATTGATAGTGGTAATGTGAAGGTCGTGGTGGTCTATTGTCTAACAACAGCATCAGATGTTAAGGTCGGAAAGCTCGAAAAGTAGAGGGCCCACCACACCTTCATGTACCACGGTCATATACTCAGGTAAACTCTACTCCGTCTGCCGTATAAACTGCTGAGTCCGAAAGGGTAACTTTGTTACTATACAGCACGAGGAGTTACATTGACTTACATTGTTACATATTATGAACTGCCGCAGCTATTTTCATTTTCGATTAGACTTAGTCCAAGCCGATTGAAATCTCGTCGTTAAAATAATCTGTTGCACTTGTAAAGTAACATTTATAATTACAATATCTCATATTTTCTAATTGGCGATTAAGTACAAAACTACTTATATTGATTTTCTATAGCTACTCAATATGCAATAGTGCAAAACCTGAATGTCACGTGATCGCTCTCCTGACAACAGGCACCCGCGGTTTAAAATCCCCCAAGTGGGTACCTCTAGGGCCCTTGTCTCTAGTACAACAGTCTTCACAGTATCCTTAAGATCCACGATGTTTCCAATGCCCCCTCCCTACAACCCCATGCCCATACCCCACGGACCCATTTAGCGCTTCAAAGCACTAATAACAAGTAATCAGTGCCATCGTTGGATACAGTTCTCCATGAGACAGAAATCGATAACTCAATAGACGGGTATTAATAATTCAATGCTATTTAAGCTATAACTATAAGAGAAGGACTGTGGGAGAAGGACAACTGGGCGGGCGGGACGAAAGGGAGTTTCAACGGCTGGGCGGTAAGGTTGGTTTAGAGATCGGTTCGTTACAATTTTGCTGGTTGTGGAGAAACGTTGCGAGGAATCGATGGTGGTTAATTAATATTTGAATGAGGGTCGGGTAGGTGGTACTGTAGGTGTGTGCTAATTAGGTTCCCAGTTTAAGGTCAAGTGGATCTAAATCAATATTGCGTTCAGTAGATGTAGGGTAGATGTTGGGATGGCGTGGAATAGCGGTAGAGAGTTAGGCTACTAACCCGAGATTCTCGAGTTCGAATCTGGGTTCAAATCAGTAGAGTGTCTCTGAGTCCACCCAGCTCTGATGAGTATTTATCTTGTGTTAGGGGAACAAAGGCGGCTGGGCATAGTGCTGACCACACTATCCCGTCATATGCCGAGGTCAATGAATCAGATGAACTCTACTTCATCGGCCCCGTGTGTCTTAGGCACGAAAGGGATTAAGAGAGAGAAGAGAAGAGGTAGATGTGAGGTAGATGTGAGGTATATGTGAGGTAGAGGATGCTCAATATAGCTATGTGTGTTAGTAAGGCATCCACCATGCCAGTGTGGGCAAGGTGGTGTTTTAATGCTAGTATATGATGGTGCGCGTGTGGGTGTATGTAAAGCGGTAGTGAATATACTCCCCATTTTAAACTATGATCTATGCCCCATATATCGGCTATATATATATTTCTGCTAGGAATAATTTATTGGATTATAATAACATAATGGCTTTATGTAGATGCAAGCCCTTAGGGGCATGCTATTTATTATACGTGTACATTTTTGTGAGTAAAAATATAAAACACAGTTGTCTCCGTTGGCTGTGTGATGTATGGGTTATCGTTACTAAGGAACAGTTACTCTTTCTAAAGACAATGTGAATAAGTAGCGATTTTGTGAAGAGAGTTTTTGAGTTAATGTTAATGTTAGTGTTAATGTTGTCATAGA